TATTTGACAGATATTTACTCTTATGATATGTTGTTTTTGAAGTGTTGGCCCACTGATTGCACTATTTACATGATGATGTGGAAAAAAGAATCTTAAGAAATAAAGAAATTCGAAGAAGTGATAAACTTGCAACATCCATCATCACTGCAATGCTACTCTTCAATTTTATATTCATGATAAATTGTTTATGTATCAGATTCATCTCCCCTTCAAATATGTATTGTTAGTTGTAAATAGCTATAGCTTAGGGATCTGTATGTAATTTATTATTGCTTATTAGTCCCTCTCTAATCCTATAAATAGAGGGCTCATCTAGTCTTGTATACACATCTTATATAATACCAATTCGGTTTCACACCATTTACATGTATGTTAGTTCCCTGGTCTGGGTATTACTGGGGTTATATTGTATTTGATGAAATATAGTTTGTTTCAGATAAATCTTGACGCTTTGAATAGTATTATACTATGGTTTCACATCATATAAAACATTGAAATATGCTTGGTTGTGACTTTGTATTGGTGGGGGTTAACATATTTCTCATATCCTCATATGTTATCAAGTATTGATGAAGTTTTTGGTACATCTTGAAGAGTTGACGTCATGTAGCCATGGTCTACATCTTGTTTGTCCTGTCACTACTCATCATGCTCACTTAATCAGCATATCAATAACATTTTAGTGTAAATCTCTGTCTAGGTCATGCTTAAATGTAGCAAAACTGGCAACGAAGATTTTTATCGTTTCTTGTTCCATGCCTTCTTTTTTCTATTTTTGAGGAATTTTCTTTCATACCTCAACGTTATAGAAATCTTGCTGCTAAGTATTACCTTCTTTCAATGGTTATTGCAGTTCAATTTTCGTGGAATTATATCATCCTGCTTTGAACCGCATTTGATGGTATATGTGGAATTAGAAGAGAGAACCCTTATGGAGCATCTGGAGAAGCTTGTTCAGGTATACTAGTCTCCTTTTCAGTTAGAATGTTTTGGTCTTTGCTTTAACTTTCTGATATGTGTTCATTAATGACAGGATGAAACATGGGATATGGATGATGGAAGTCAGACTAATATTCTATCCAGTAGCATGCAGGCAGGCTACTAGACATGCTGATATGGAAATACTTATTAAATATTTGAGATATAATATTTTCCTCAGGAGTATTGTAGAATTGAATTAATTCAGCTTATGCTTTCCTAACATTTCCCACTGTAGGGAAGTTGTTGGAGTCTCACATCGGCTAGACACGGTCCGTTTGACCTCTTAATATGTTGGAACTTTTCCTCTCTCTATAAGGGCTCTTTTAGAGAGGCAGCAAAGTGGTTTCACGTACTCTAACATGGTATCAGAGTCGGTGTGTAGCATCTCCAGGGGCCGAACACACTCGAACCTCCGCTAAAGGGGGGGGTGTCTAGCCTCCAGGCGTGTTAAAGTCCCAAATCGGATAGACACGATCCATTAAACCTATTGGGACTTTCCCCCTCTCTATAAGGGCTCTTTTAGAGAGAGAATCAAAAGGGTTCCACATATTCCAACAAAGGTTTGCTGCAGATGGAACTTTTCCCACCTAGTTGACACTGACACTAAATGTAATTGCATTATCTATTTTTCCAACATCCAGAATTGGTTACCGTAGCAGATCTATGCCCCTGCATTTAAGTAATGGATAGAAGCTGTTTTTCCAAGTGAAATCTTCTGCTCACACAAAGCTACTTGATGGATGTAGTCTAACAAATTCAGTATTTCGTCTGGATGGCTAACATGTCCAATTTTCCTTGCTGAAGGTCTTTCTGATTATCAGAAGGAGCTTGAAACGATGCTGCACCTTGACAAGGAACCAGACACTCCTGAATTTATTTAAGGTGTGTTTTGGAATAAATTGTTTGGATGTTGTTCATTGTCATATAATGTCTTCCAGGTTATCCTGTCAGCTGCTATAGAAGTGACTATTTTTCTTGTAAGTAGTTTATTGATGGAAAAACTGAAGTAGTAATCTGGTTATCTAAATGATATTCTGCATATACCCTCGACCAACCTGCTTACTTTTGTGCTTCTAACTGATTTTGTGCTCCTAAGGTCAGAGATGATGAGTAGCATCAGGTGAATGTAGAAATATTTCCTTGTCCAGAAACCTTATAAATGCCGATGCGAAATATATGGAAGATATACTAATGAATAAAGATAAACTATAAACAAATTTTATATGAATACTTCTCTTTGCATCCCTTTACACAAAACGAGATTAGGTTAATGAATAAAAAATAAACGACTCGCATACTTTAACAGAAAGATGTCTTTATCATCATCTATCCTTATTACCTGAAAGTTGAAATCATCTTTACAAACAGGCTGGGTTTTGATTACTGACATACTCTTATGTAAAGTCTTTTTTTTCTTTCTGTATGTGAAAACATTGTGATGTTGTAACTCTTGAGAGAGAGGGTCTGAACAGAATTGAAAGACGCCCTCTCAAATATCTTACTTATTTCAGATACCATTTTCTTTCTTAAATATCTTTCTTGGTATTAGTCTACCTTCTTTTAGGCATGTTAAAAGATTTTTATTTTGTGGATTTGAGTTGCATTTTTTATTCTAATCGTTGAAAAAAATCTTTGTTTGCACCTTATGGATGCTTATGCTTAATAATCCTAAGTGTTATTGGATATCTTAACAATGTTGATACCTGGAGCATTTTTGCTTTCGAGACATCTATCAAGGTGGTTGTTTGCAAGGTAGCATTTACAGTAAAAATACAAGTTATTTCATGGTTAGGGTAAAACTGACTATTGGATTGTATAACATCAATCTAGTGGGACTCGGAACACATCAGATGTGTGAATATCTTTCCATTAATCCAGCTTTGACGTATGAGCTTCCTATGTGGATAGATCTACTGTAAACATAAACTAAACTTTTTGGATTATTCCTGAGGGCAAGTTGCATGCATGCTTTATAACAATCATCAAAGAATTAAGTTTGATATGAAAATTGATAAAAAATTTGTGGGCTTCAATGATCCTAAAGTCATAGAGTTCCTTGATTCTGAGTACTTGTGAATCAAACTTATGGTGTGAATATATTACGATTGTATTATCTTTATGGCTGGCAGGTCTTCCAAAGAGTTCTTAGAGCTTATGCTTCAAAGCTTTTCATGAAGTTGCCTAAAGGTGCCACGGGTACGGATGGACATATTAAGGTATCATTGAGTCTTGTTTATCCACCTTAACTTGATGAGGTTTGCTTCATTCTGTTGTTGCCGCGATTAGGCTGACATTATCTGCCTCTAAATGCAGACATCTGATAAAGATGAAAGGCTGATATGCTATATTGTGAACACTGCAGAATATTGTCATAAAACGGTCAGTTCTTCACAAATTTGGGTGTGTGTATGTAGTTGCTGTGTGCCCAGTATAATTCTGCGTAACAATGTTAATGTATGTGTCAAGTCAAACATTGCCGTTTTTTCTTACATGGAGGGGGGAGACCCCTCCTATCAAGTAAAAAACCATAAACAATACGCGCTCGGGTGGGGGCGAATATCATAAGGTTTGCTAGAGGTTTGCGAAGGCAGAAACTAATGTGGGGACTAAGGTGATGTAATGGATTTTTGGCATGCAACTAGCCATCAACTACTTCCGTTTGTTTGTGTATGGTGGTCAAGTTGCAATTCTTATAGGACACAGGGAATAAATACAACTGTCTTATCTTTATTAGAAAGCTTTCTCTGACTAATTGAGAGGTAACTTTGAGTTCATTACTTATACAGGCTGGTGAATTGGCTGAGAATGTCTCGAAAATAATAGATTCCCAGTTGATCGACGCAGTGGATATGTCAGAAGTGCAGGTTAAATTAGAAACCCTTGGTGTATTTTTTTTAAATCCACATGCACAGCCAATATATTCTTTTATTCTGTCATATTATATCAGTATTTCAAAGAAAAGTTATTTTGTAAAACATATCTTACGATCATAAAACTTATAATTTCATTGAATATGTTTTGTTTAACTTCTTTTTCTTTTCAATATAATTAAAAACTAATTTTCGTTTAAATATATAATATTTATATACGGTAAATACTCACACACACTCCTCATTTTTGGTGAGATTTGAACTGTTGGGTTTTCTTATGGTTTTAACCTATGAGGAAGGCCCATATATGGTCTGGCCCATATATATATATATAGCCCTCTTCCAGCCCTAGTTCTTAGATTTTAATTGTGCAGCCAAAAATAGAGAAAAAAAAGAAGAAAGGAGAGAGCTCCAAATATTTTCGTCACTTTTGACACAGCAGCAGAAAAACTCTGTTTCCCGGAGATTGAACGGTCGGATCGTCGTAATTTTTGGTCAGTGTCTTCACAACATCTGAGCCAACGTTTTGGACGGTCGGATCGTGGTTTTGAGGTCAGGTTTTCTGGGGGTTCTTCACAGCAGCTTTTGTGGTGATATTCTCTTCACTTTTGCCTATTTTGGTTCCATACATCTTGATGTGCTTATTTCCAAGTGTATGATGGTTTTGTATGCGTCTAGTATAATCTAGAGAAGACTTTGTATTGCTCTAATATTGGTGGTAGTGGATTTCAAGCGGCTCTAGTAGTCCCGTGGTTTTTACTATCGTTTTGAGGGGTTTTCCACGCTAAAATTTCGTGTCTCATTCTGGTTGTTGTTTTTACGTCTTGGGGGCTGTTTTACTTGCATTTAAAATACCCTATTTGTTTGCATCCTCAAAGGTTCATTCGGGTCGGGAAAGTTTAGCCTAACGAAGGTTAATTCCGCATTCATTGTTTACCGTTAGTGGCTTCGTTTTTCCCATCAAATTGGTATCAGAGCAAGGTTCTTCTTGTTGGTTAGGACTTGTTTGAACGATGGAGGCTAATACAAGTAGGATGATAAGTTTAAATGGTTCTAATTATCATGTTTGGAAAGGAAAGATGGAAGACCTTCTTTATGTGAAGGATTTTTACTTGCCTGTATTTTCAACTGACAAACCTGAAAACAAAACAGATGCAGAGTGGAATATTTTGCATAGACAGGTTTGTGGGTATATTCGGCAATGGGTTGATGATAATGTTTTGAACCATATTACCGGGGAGACTCATGCTCGTACTTTATGGAACAAGCTTGAACAACTATATGCTCGAAAGACTGGGAACAATAAGTTGTTCTTGATTAAACAGTTGATAAGCTTGAAGTGCCGTGATGGAACTCCTATTACTGATCATTTGAACGCCTTTCAAGGAATTATCAATCAGCTTGAGGGAATGGGTATCAAGTTTGAAGATGAGATACAAGGTTTATGGATTCTTGGTACGTTACCGGATTCATGGGAGACTTTTAGGACATCATTGTCCAACTCTGCACCCGATGGTTTCTGGACAATGATGTCCTAAAAGTCTCCCATGAATCCGGTAACGTACCAAGAATCCATAAACCTTGTATCTCATTTTCAAACTTGATACCCATTCCCTCAAGCTGATTGATAATTCCCTGAAAGGCGTTCAAATGATCAGTAATAGGAGTTCCATCACGGCGCTTCAAGCTTATCAACTGTTTAATCAAGAACAACTTATTGTTCCCAGTCTTTCGAGCATATAGTTGTTCAAGCTTGTTCCACAAAGTACGAGCATGAGTCTCCCCGGTAATATGGTTCAAAACATTATCATCAACCCATTGCCGAATATACCCACAAACHTGTCTATGCAAAATATTYCACTCTGCATCTGTTTTGTTTTCTGGTTTTTCAGTTGAAAATACAGGCAAGTAAAAATCCTTCACATAAAGAAGGTCTTCCATCTTTCCTTTCCAAACATGATAATTAGAACCATTTAAACTTATCATCCTACTTGTATTAGCCTCCATCRTTCAAACAAGTCCTAACCAACAAGAAGAACCTKGCTCTGATACCAATTTGATGGGAAAAACGAAGCCACTAACGGTAAACAATAAGTGCGGAATTAACCTTCGTTAGGCTAAACTTTCCCGACCCGAATGAACCTTTGAGGATGCAAACAAATAGGGTATTTTAAATGCAAGTAAAACAGCCCCCAAGACGTAAAAACAACAACCACAATGAGACACGAAATTTTAGCGTGGAAAACCCCTCAAAACGAGAGTAAAAACCACGGGACTACTAGAGCCGCTTGAAATCCACTACCACCAATATTAGAGCAATACAAAGTCTTCTCTAGATTATACTAGASGCATACAAAACCATCATACACTTGGAAATAAGCACATCAAGATGTATGGAACCAAAATAGGCAAAAGTGAAGAGAATATCACCACAAAAGCTGCTGTGAAGAACCCCCAGAAAACCTGACCTCAAAACCACGATCCGACCGTCCAAAACGTTGGCTCAGATGTTGTGAAGACACTGACCAAAAATTACGACGATTCGACCGTTCAATCTCCGGGAAACAGAGTTTTTCTGCTGCTGTGTCAAAAGTGACGAAAATATTTGGAGATCTGTCCTTCTTCTTTTTCTTTATTTTTGGCTGCACAATTAAAATTTAAGAACTAGGTCTGCAAGAAGGCTATATATATATGGGCCTTCCTCATGGGCTATATATATGGGCCTTCCTCATGGGCTAAAACATAAGAAAACCCAACATTGACCGCCAGGGAGGTTGGCCTTGGTTACTGTTGGGCAGAGACCCTTTGGTGCCTTGGTGTGTTTGTCAGCAATAGCTACGCCATTTTCACGATGATTCCTCTATTCATGCAGGATGAATTCTCAGCAGTTATAACAAGAGCACTAGTAACGTTAGTGCATGGTGTGGAAACCAAATTTGATGTTGAAATGGGTGCAATGACACGTGTTCCCTGGGGTACGCTTGAAAGTGTGGGTGATCAATCGGCGTAAGATGCAAATTGGATATATATAACCTCCACTATTGTGCTAAGGCATCTCCTCGGATGATAAAAAAATTCATTTAATGTGTTGCAGGTATGTGAATAGCATAAATATGATCCTTAGTGGTTGCGTCCCTATACTTGGAAGCCTTCTTTCTCCAGTTTACTTTCAGTTCTTCTTAGACAAGGTGAATACTCTATGTTTTCTTGTATACATTATTCATTTCACTGATGAAACTTCGTACTTATGCAGTCTTTATTTTAAAATTTTCCCAGAGTTTGGTTTTTTTAATTGAATTATGGTGCTTGTTGTTTAGTTCCAAGTTTGGTTTTCCATGTCATGTGTAGGGGTGCATTTGATCTGAGCCCAAGCTTGGTAGGCTCAGACTCGGCTCGTGGCTTGTCAAGCTTGAGCCTTGCCTTGGTTCCAATGGACTTGTATAAGCTCAAACCTTGGCACAACCCCCATTATAGGCTTGGTTCTTTTAGCTCATATAAGCTATTATATGCTTGTAAAAAGTTAAACTAATTCTTCAAACTAAAATTTAACTAGAAGCCCACAAGAGGCTAAAGATTGGTGGGTTCAATATATATACATATATATAGAGAGAGGGAGGTTCAAACGAGAACAGTAACAAAATAAAAGAATACGAAAACAGTCAAATCACGTGCAAAATCACATGTGATTCTACACCAATGGTCAACACAAGGGTGTCCAAGCGACGTGGCCCATGACCTCAGGTCGCAGCCAAAGTCGCGCGAATCACATGTGATTCTAGTGTAAAATCACATGTGATTCGACCATTTTCTTATTCTCTTATTTAATTAATGTTATCGTATGAATCTGAATCTCTCTCTCTCTCTCTCTCTATATATATATATATATATGGTGGGAGGTTCAAATAAAAAGGCTAACTATTGTGAGAAGGTAAGAGGGGAAAGTTCTTATGTGAATCATTGAAAAAATCCATTTGAAGATGCATATACGAATCCATATGAATAATCTGTAACGTTAGTTCACATATGCATCTTGAAATAAAAAAAATCAGATTTTTTTGATGATTCATATACGAATCTTCCCTTAACCATCCCTTCTTGCCTTCTCACGATATTTAGTTTTCTTATTTGAACCGGCCCCTATTATGTATATATACACACACACACACACACACAAAGCTACTCAAGTTTGTCTATCTTTTTTTGCCCTTATCTATCTTTTCCTCACTTTTTTCACAAGCATCATGGAAGAAACTGTTGTACTCTTTGGGGTAGAGGTCAGACCTGCGTACATCTTACCCTCCCTAGACCCCACCTCAGGCGGGACCGGGACTTACTGGGCTTCCTTTGATTGGTTTGGTTTTAAGCTACTCTGTAAGCTCTTATGGGCATAGCAGGCTGGGTACATTTATGCTTGCTGAGCTGCCAAGCTGGGCCATATAGGATTTGGCTTGGCATATAGGCTTGGGCTGCCCAGTTTTTTGACAAGCCGGCTCACCTCCCCTACAACCCTGGTCATGCACGTTTCAAGTTGTTAATGGAATTCAATAGCAGACATAATTTTTTCTGTATTAATTGATGTTATGGTCGTTGTAGCTTTGATATGCTCATCAATCATCATATGATTATCCGTTGCAGCTTGCATCATCTCTAGCTCCACGCTTCTACCTCAATATCTTCAGATGCAAGCAAATATCAGAAACTGGAGCTCAACAAGTATCCATCATTTTAAGTTATTAGCTGCACCAAACAGTGGCGTTTATCGGGATCAATGAAATTTAATGTGTGGTTCTTGTGCAGATGTTGTTGGATACTCAGGCTGTAAAGACAATACTTTTGGATATTCCATCCCTTGGGAGACAGGTAAATTAGCCCTTTTTGCTTCAAATTTGACATGCTCTGTCTCTGCCACAATAAACTGTCTGATCTTTGAAGTTGGTTCAAAAGTTCTTGTTTTTTTTACTAGAAATGGACGGAGAAAATGCAAATCGACCTGTTTCTGAAGCCATTTTAAATAGGCATGGGAATAGGGTGGGGGCCCCATCCCCATCCCAATCTCCGTCCCCGTCCCGCTGGGGAACATGATCACATCCCCAGCCCCAACGAGGAACAGGGATCGCCAATGGGGAATAGGGGATTTTCTCCCCGTTTATGTGAGTTTTTTTTAAATCAAATGTGTTAAACACTATACCCGATCAATAATGGTCCATGTTTAAATCTCACATATTTCCAAAATATTGCTTCTACGGAGTATCAAATATTCATATGTGAACAAAATCACAACATCATACGTAATTGTTTGATCAAATGTTCGGCTCTCCATGATTTTTTTTATCAAAAAGAGTAAGACAAATAAAAAAATGTATCTAAAAAGAAAGATCAAAATACTGTTTCTAAATCTAACAGATACTAAATCCAATTCTTTATAAATAATATAATTAATGATAGAGATACAATATATTTAGGAATGAATGACAATATATTTAATATACCGGGACAGGGCGGGGATCACGTTACCTGTCTCCGTCTCCGTCCCCGTCCCCATCCCCATCCCCGGTTTTTAACTTTCAGGGATCTCCATCCCCATCCCCATTCCGCATCCCCGGTTTTGCGGGAATCTCCGGCCCCATCGAGGCGGGTACACTAGGTTCCCCAATGAGGAGGGTCTCATTCTCATGCCTAGATTTATATCATGCATAACTGATAAGAGTTTGCTTTTTCTTTTAACAGATTCCAGGAGCTGCTGGCTATTCGAAATTTGTAAGCCGTGAGATGAGCAAAGCGGAAGCACTGTTGAAGGTCAGTGCTCGAACCAGTCGGTTCGCCCCCATGAAAATTATGGTTTACATGCTTTTTGCACACCCTTTTGCACAAGACAGGGGTCTTCTCAGAAACAGCCGCTCTACCTTCTACCCTGATATGATATACAGGTTATCTTGTTTTGGTTTTCGTAATTATGTGTACTTAGCATGCTATTATATACAGGTTATCTTGTCCCCGATTGATTCTGTGGCCGATACATATGGAGCACTTTTACCCGAGGGAACACCTTCAGAATTCCAGCGGATTCTAGAGCTCAAGGTTAGTATAATCAATCATCACTAACTTCTACTCTAAGGCCATGTTTGCCAACATAAACTAACATATAACTGCAAGCAGCATTTCAACAAGTTCCAGGGGTTTTTTTTCTTGCGATTATGCCCCTTATAATTTTTTAATTATTTTTTCAACATGTTAGCTTACAAAATATGACTAATTTATTAGAGCATCTCCAATAACCATGCTATAATTTTTCTAAAATAGAGTATCAAAAATCAAAATCTCTAAAAAGATTAACTCCAACAACTACTTTATTTTAGGAATTGCCACATTAATAATATTATTAAAATATCTATAAATTTATTGAGGTGAATTATTATGCAACACTTTACATTTGTGCAACCACTACAATTCAATCTCAACTCCATTTAATTTGATAAATATGTGATTTCATAAAAGTTTTGATTGTTTATTAATATAAAGTATTGATCATAATTAATAAACTGTAATCATCTTCCATAAATATTCAAATCATAAGAAATGAACTCTCATCATTTCCATAAATATCTCAATTGATTGAATTGCATTGGTTATACAAATGGACATTGTTGCATTTGAAATAAACCCTAAATTCATTATCCCATTACACTTTCAAAAAAATTCCTAAAAATTTATAACAACATTCAACCTCACTGATGGAAACAATTAAAATAATCTCTCTTCTTATTAGTAAGTTTTAGAGAAGTCTCCAAATTTGAAGATTTTCTACCTTCTCTCCTTTTCCCTCTATTTTAACATACAGTTTAGCATAACCGTTGGAGAAAAAAAACTCCAAAATCTCTACTTCGGCATAGCTGTTGGAGATGCTCTTAGCGAACAACTAGCGTATCAACTAGTTTGTCAAGCGTAGCCTAAAGTCTTTGTATTTAATCATTGCCTTATCCTTGTCTATTGAACCCTGTAGCTCACTCCAGACCAGAATGGATTACAAATATCTATATTCGTTTTGCTCCATTTCTCTCATGCTCCATTTCATTTCTGCGATTCGAAAATGGAGACGAGATCCAATAATTGGAAATGGGAAAGGAAGCAAATGGATGAAACAAATCTGCATTTCTCATTTTATGTGTCCCATTTTCTCGACTGAAATCGGGAATGGGAACCACAAAATGGACGAAACAAATCCGCATTTCTCATTGTGTCCCATTTTCTCGACTGAAATTGGGAACGGGAACCTCAAGATGGACATGTGAAACGGGATCAAATGGGCAAATTCCTAGAGCTCGAGGTTGTACTTGGTCACCACTAACTACTACAACAGTCATTTAATTCAGCACTTAATCGAGACTGAGGGTAAAATGGTTATTTCTGCCATTCATACTGTTTATTCAGCACAAAAAACAGTAATTTAGCTTAATCCTTATAGAGAGCTTAACCCATGTACGTAGTTGGCACATCACAAGATCTTCCATTCACCATCATTTTAATTGCGCAGGGATTGAAGAAAGCAGACCAACAAACCATATTGGATGACTTCAACAAACGTGGTTCCGGGTTTTCTGAATCACCAGTTGCCGCCCCAGCCGTCCAGGTGTCCCATGTGGCGGCAGCTCCTGTGCCTCCTCCCTTGGCCAGTCCAGCTTCATCTGCAGTTATTGCCTCGAGAGAGGATGTGCTTACCAGAGCAGCGGCACTTGGCAGAGGTGCCGCCACAACTGGATTCAAACGGTTTCTTGCTTTGACTGAAGCAGCAAAAGATCGCAAGGATGGGCCTTTTAGAAAACTTTTCAATGCCTAGAATTTACACACTTTCAGGTTCTTTTATATGTTTATACCTTAGAAAATACAAATGTTTAATAATAGCATCAACGAATAAAATCTTGAATCTTTTTTGTGTTGATTTTGCAGATAGGAAAAGAAATGAGAAGATACTCGACAACTTCTCGATTTTGTTCATATATCGTGCATGCTCGTGCCAAATCAAGCAGCAGCAACGATCTTCATCGCTCTCGTATGTTAGTTCTTCGTCGACTATTATTTTCAGAAAAATAATGCTGTGGTGCAAATAATCTCTTCTTTTTCTTGGTTCGCAACGGCCTTATTTATTTTACGTTGCCTTTAGTTTTCGTCGTGATCATTCATTGATTTGAAGTCTAATGATCGGATGAAAGATTGAAGCAAATTGGTTAAAATCTCATTGAGCCCTCAGGTCCTATATGATTTTTCATGATTTTCTATTAATGTTTGGTTGGCAGGCCCTGGCCACATGCAGCCCGTGCGAATGCACAGGGCATCAAAGCTTAAAGGGGCATCACAGTTGTCATTTATTACTAGTTTTGAGTTTAATAATTTAAGAATTGGACAACTGAACTTTAACTATAAAAACAGGCCTAAGGCCTAGCAGTGAATGCACATCGTTGGAAAAAGTTGGAAAGTTGGAAAAGTTTTTGTTTGTATAAAGTTGTCTGTATGAATTAATCTGTTTGTATAAGTTGGAAAAGTTTTTGTTTAAGAGAGTTTTTTCGCAGATGTAAGGAGCGTTTTTTTAGTTGAAAGGAACATATTTGGAATTTTTTTTTGGCGTTATACATAAACCTCCCCCTAGAAGCTTATTAGATAAGTCACTTTTTATATCATTAAGCCACTACGAAACAGTCATGCATAGTTGAGTGAATAAGCTGTTAGTTCCATTAAACTTATTAAGCTGCTAACAGATAATCACTTAGTCTTTAGTCGTTAGACCGGTAATTTTTAAGTTTTACATTTTGCTTAATGACAACAATTTGGATGTAATTTACCATTTTAGTTAAAAACTAATTATAGTTTTCCTTGTTTTTTAAGTTTCATATATTGAAATAAAGTTTTTATTTTGCTAATTTCAATTTGGAAAAGAGAAAACTGGAAAAGAAGGATGCACTATCTTAATATGGATTTATCATTTTATATTTTGTATTCGGGGTTTTGGTTTTTATGTCCCGTCCATCGTATTTTTTTAATTATAATTAATAAAAATCAACATCGGGATGAGATACTTAACTTGAATAGGTTCTAAACTCTTTAAAAAATCGCATGTTTCGTTGTTTCATTGGCCTAAAAAAATAGGCTTAGGGGCAATTATTATTATTTTCGCATAGGGCATCAAAAATTTTAGGACCGGCTCTGTTGGTTGGTTTTTCATTAAGTCTTGTATGGATAAAGTTATCTATGTGGATTGATCTGTCCTAATAGATTGGGAACGTTTTTGTTTGGGAGGGGTTTTCATAGATGGAAGGAGTGTTTCTTAACTGGGAGAGGTTGGATTGAAAAAAGTTGGTTTTTTGTATAAAGCTTAATGAATAAGCCATTTTCTATAGCATTAAGCCACTACCAAACAATCATATATAACTGACCAAATAAGTTGTGAGTTCCATTAAGCTCATTAAGATGCTTATAACCAGGAGTGTTGTATAGATTAAATTGTCTATGTGAATTAAACTAAATTGGTGTTTGTTTCTTTTGCTGAATATTCTGTCAGAACTATGTAAATTACGGTCTATTTTTTGTTTTACATCAAACACATGTTTTCTATAAACTTCCATTAAAGTTCCAAAAACAATAATCCTAATCACTGTTGGAGATGAGAGGAGCAGATCGATGAGCCATACAACAACAACAACAATGTTATCGCATTTGTTCCATGCTCTATTGTTACCGCCATCGAGAAGGAGGCACATCAACGGTAGGGACGGGAAGTTGTGTTTTTTTTATTAACCTGAATATCCAACCCGCTATACGAGCCGACTAATCCCAGGCGACCACCTGCTTTGTAGATAGGTCAGAGTCATCGCATTTGAATCTCCGTGGCCACAAGGGGATTTTTATTCCTCCTTGTATTTGAACCTGAGACCTTTTGGTACTTTTGACCTTTGGCGCCATACTCAAACCAATCAGGCACCACTCTTGTGGTTAGAAGTTGTGTTTTTTTAGGTCTGGGTAGGGGAGAAAATGTGATCGCATAATGGATACAAGCACCCTCTCTTGGCTGTCTGAATAAGTTCATTTAAGCCAATACCTTAATGAATAAGTCAAAAACAATCCGTAAAATATGGCTTAGCGAGTAATCCATTAAGCTCATTAAGCTTATTGGGTAAGCATTTGGGTAAACGGTCCCTAAATGCTTATCCAGTAGATTGTTGCTATTCTTTTTCTTCCGTCTCGATTGAGTTGGTGTTCAGTATATCGAATCATAAACTAAAAACAACCTTTAAATATGTCCTTTTTTTTTGTAAAATTCATCCTAAAAATTTAAATGATATAAATTTTAAAGTGAGTCATTGGCCTCACAGGAGGTTAAGGGTTTAAACCTCCCTAAAGGTGAGGAGAGTGTGTGTGAGTTTATTTGTTTTATTTACAAACTTCAATTTTTTTTGTTCTCGAGAGAAAAGGGTAAGCAAAGAAAAGAAAATAGTTTTTCATTTTTCGTAGGTGAAAACGATGGCTACGATCATTAGAAAAGAAGGGTTGATATCGATTTACTCTCACTTCATCATCGATGAACAATGGCTGAAATCGTACTTTCTGTCTGACGACCTGGTTCAACTAGGAGAAGTTGCAGGTATTATTGCAGGTCAATCTATTGGAGAACCGAACACTCAATTAATATTAAGAACTTTTCATACATACGGAGTATCCACAGGGGGTTTACATCGCTTTTTGAGAAGTCTTTAAGGTGATAAATAGAAATTGTTCAAAAAGTTATAACAACTTTAATATATTTAGTGTTTTTTGTAAGTATATAATATTTATATACGACAAATACAACAAATAACAAATACATATGTCTTATCTTCGTCTTCATTCTTGGTCGAAAAACAAAGAAACTGTAAATAACTAAACGTGGTTTACAAAAAACGTATCTTCATTGTCTTCTTGATTCGTTTTCATTGACCTTTCTTTCATACATCTCGATTCAGTGGTTATAAAAATTGAAACTCAACCAAACGTAAAGCACGAATCCCACAAAAATAAACACGACTCACACAAAAATTTTCTTTCCGTACACGGTAATCATATAGATAAATTTGTCGTTTTAAGTTGAAGTTATTTAGCGTATGAAGTTTTAGCAAAATATTTAATAACAAATATTAACGATTTAAAAGAATTGTGTGAGAATAGGAGTTCAGGTGAAAAGTGTAACAAAAGATTTGGAGTATTGATCACTTTTAATCTTAAACCAACCCATGAATTGTGTTTTAACAGATAATTTGTTTCTCTTCGATTACGATTGATCCAAAGGTAAAGATATCTTCTTACCCTTTTTACTGTAACTTTCGTTCTCACCAGAACTCAACCCTAATTGATAAACGATTATTTGATTTTCTCTCAAAATTGTTGCGTAAAAAATCATCATTTTAACCAATTAAAGATTTGATCTAACAATGGAAAATCCTCAAATCGAGAGAGAGTGAAAATTGAATAATTTCTTTAAATTTTGGTATTATATATATATATATATATATATATATATATATATATATATAG